AAGGAAAAATCAACTATATATATATATATATATCAAGCCAGTCTTTCATTACGTTAAGTCCTCATCCCAAAATTTTTACTATTATAGATAAGCTTCACAGCTATCAATGTTCCAACTAAGTCTAATAACGATTTCTACATACTTGAAAGGTAACAAAATCGACTGATTCCAGCCAGCTCCAGGGCCATCATTCGTAAGACTGTATAAATTGGATTTTCTTAATGTTTCTTACGGTTTTAAAGCAAAAGTCTAAGGACGTTTATTATAGTAAATTATTTGTCATATAAACTATTATAAAATATCTCTCTATGATAAATATTTGCGTATTATCTAAAATTTATACAATAACATATTTACATGTGTTACGTTAATGCTAACTGCGCATAGTTTTATTAGAATGTATTCTCGAAACGTATTTGTTAGCAGCAAAAATCCTGAAAGGTTCCGAATAAGCTCACTATAGTATTTCTTATTTGCTTTTAAAATACCTTTAAAGAAGTGTTTTTTACACGCATGGAGCTTTAAAAATTTTTTCTTTGTACTAAAAACTTAAAAGTATACATTTGTGCCAAATTTTCATTCATTTATTTACGTATTTATTATTATATTTCATTTTTTTTATTTTTGTTATCATTTGGCCTGCGACTAAAAATAAAATAGAAAAGGGTACTGTTAAATCATTTATAATAATATTACAATAAATTAAAGTTATAAGTGATATCGAAAATCTTCATCAACTTAAATTGAGTATGAGTAGTCACTCGTTTGTAAGGCTTCCAAAAGAAAAACGAACTGAATTTCAATAAAGCATTCTATGCTTCGTCTTGTACTTTACGTCCAACAAACGGGTTATGAAAATACACACAACACACGCTGTTTGGAAAACTTACATGACATGCACATGTACATGTATTTACAGCAAACATGTTTATAAATGCAAATATTCGATGAATACCACATACATGCTTTCACAATAGTGAAATAGTAAACCTAATGCAGAAACCTCCGCTAGAGAAAGTCTACATGTTTTTTGTCTGCGTCTGTTTTGTGTTCATATGGAACGGGAAGAAAAGCGGCAGGAATTATAATCGCATTGATTGGAAAGATGGGAGTCACCGGTGTATTGCATATTACTAGTTGCTTTAACCAAGCTAAGTAATGCGACCAACAGTAACTTGTACAACTGAGTCCAAAAATGGGTGAAATACGCAAAAATTCATGATAATGCAATTTTCAGAAATGATGATGCTCAGCCTCCGTTGGCAAAACTCAACACTAAAGTGTGTTGTGCTACCCTCTCCACATGATTCTCCCCACTTTACTTTCCACGATTAGCAATAACTTGAATCGATGGTTTATTGTCTGTCCAAGCATGGCTTTAATTTAATTTAATTATTATAACACGGATCCTTTTTTTCTCTCTCTGAATAACAACAAAATGTAGCTACCAATGGCCATATAAAGTATTACCATTCTTTTAATATACGCTCTCTTTTCATTAAAATTAGCCGAGGTAATAAAAAAAAGAAGACGTATTTAAAGCTACAATACAATACCGCATTAATAATACTGCAATAGCGAAAAACTTACAAATTCCTCGCAAAAATTTCAAAGATACCTAAACGGAGTATAGAATGGATTGGATTTTTTTTCGCCGGTATTGGCGATGTTCGCATGTTCAGTACGAACGAGAACGAGCATAAATAAAATTAAAATACCTTGGAATCGTGCTTGCAACGTTAGAGAAATTCAGGCTTAGTGCAAAACCCAACAAATGCATTTTTTGGACAAGTAGCATAAATTTCTTTGTCTGTCTGAAGAAAAATTTCAAAATTTATGGGTATGGCATATTACTAACACAAACACATATCGAATCTAGCCAGGTTTACAAGCCCGATACATGGCATCGTAAACGGTGCAAACAAAAAAAAAAAAGCTCCAACGAAATGGTGCAACAAAAGACTAGTTTAATGGAGACAAAAAGAGATTTTTTCAAGTAATTTATTAATTAAACCATGAGGCATGAAACGTAACTGTTAGGGGTATATTAGAGCAAACTCACTATGACAAAACGGAGCGAAAAGTATTTCTCAATCTCTTTAATGATCACACACATTGTGGAAAAAAAGCAGTTCACCACTTTTACCCGTTAATCCTCAAACGAACATATCGCACAATTCACTAATCCCCATTGTTGGTGATCGGGCGGTTAACTCTTTTTATGCATTGAGGAGGTTACCCATTAGGAATAAGAGGGGAAGCCGGCTGTGTGTTTAGAGCGGTTTTAATCTTTTGTACACATTACAAGAAGCAGGGAAAACAGTTCAGTACCTATAATTGAATAATATGAACTTTGCAATGGCGTATCTTTCTTAAAATGCTATCTAAATAGTGAGAGAAATCTTTTTGATGAACCTATTGTAATAGTCTATCTCATACTTGTTAACTACGTATTTAAGTGCTGAAAATGAATTTTATCTAGTACATAACTGCTTAAATAGTATATGAATTTAAGCCTTTATTGTACATCAGACCATTTACATCTTAATGTGTTGAGTATCTGATTACAAACAAGATTTAATCTTAATTCATAAGCGGAACGATAAAGATTCACAAAATGAAGCATTGAGGAATAATTTTCGCATAAACATAAATAGTTTGCATTCAATCAACTATTCAATTTAATTCATGCCTTTCCTCGAACATCCAAGTGTCACACTCCTCCTACTAAACTACTCCTGCTAAGGTACCTCCATATACCTTAAGGTTCATTGGAATTATCGCATTAAGGTGTATAATGAAGTTACTGTAATGTCTTGGTAGGCGCACGAGGGGTTAGTGAATCAAATAGATCTTGTATACGAGCCCTGTTTCTACAATGATAATCACTTCACCCAGGCGCAACGGTTTACACAAAAGTACTCATTAATTTTTAAAGGCCAGCTTTACTTCAGACTTCATAAAAAACCGCTTTGTAATATACCGCTTAATTGCGATAAATGTTCACTTAGTTTGGGTGCCATTTCGATGATGCCATTAAGTTAATTAGCCATATAATATCTCAGAACTCGAAGTTTCTGTTTTGCGTTCGGACATTTAACAAATTGGATATGTACAAATAATCAAAAAAATGTAATTCGCTATAGACGTAACTTAAATTGTAGATTAATTTGAAAGCCATTTGAGTTCAACAATAAGCAAAAGCCATCACTAGAAGCCGGTTTAGAAGATTGATATTCTCATATACTTCAGATTATATGAATTTCGACGTACATTAAATGCTCTTACAAAAATAGACGCATTGTATTTCGTGACGTTTGAGTTGTTGTTTAAGACAAGCTTGGTAGAATATTGACAGGGCAATGTCAGTTAACAATCTAACGACGTAAATTTCCAATTACGGATCTGTTCGCCTGCTGATTCTAAAAAGATGATCTATTTTTTACTTTCATTCCTGAACATTACGTTGATTAATTTGAATTATGTTTAAGGCAGTTTCATCAATCATCCGAAACTAACACTTGAACAGAAGTTTCATCACCTCCGTAATAAGACGAAGAGCCTCAGCATGGAAGTGGTTGCACTTTCAAAGATGGCAATTTTAATCTTGCTTCAGAAACCATGAAAAATCAATGTAAGCGTAAGAAGCTTTTTGTTGAAAACCAAATAACAAAAATAAATTAATAAGTAGTTATAAAGTATATTATGTATTGAATTACGAACGCGTGATAAGTGGTTACACGCAAAACAAGTAAGGAAAACAGGAGAGAAATAGAGTTTATATATAAATCTAGCGCATAAATATTTGCGTTTAAACATGTGCTCGCGCGTGTGTCTGTGTGTTAGCGTTACGGATTCATTTATATATCTTATTTTAATGTATACGCTGCATTCAAACTCCAATAATCCGTAGTAGTTGCGTCGAACTGTAATAGAAGTGAAAAATAATTTCGAATAGTATAGAATATAATCCGTGGTGTAACATATTCAAATCGGATTTACTCGATCTCGATAACTATAAACCAGCACCTGAAGTATTGCACAAAATTATCAATTTGTTGTTCATCAATCTTTGAAGTCAATTAAAACGTTATCATCGATAATCCATCCCTTTTTCTAAAAGTGTAAGGGGTCCGTGGACTTAAACATAAGCAGTTGACAGTTTCTTTGGCAAAGAAGCTCAGTTTAGTCTTGAAAAAATGTACATAATTCATCTCCGTACGCTTGCTTCATTAAGTTGTTCCTTGACATTTATCACTAGATGTCTATAAATTTTTCCACGCTTTTATAGACAATGGAAGTTAAACAAGTCAAGAACGTAGAGTTTAAACCCGTTAGTTCAATTTTCTCACGAAAATGAATGAGGCACAAAATAGTGGTGGCAACCGAGGAGTATGCTTGCAAAGTTTGTTTTCATAGACGACTAAATAAACTATTATTGTAATTGTTTAATTTTATTGTATGCTTATGTTTACTGCTTTTTTTTTTATTATTGGCCTTATGGAACTTCATTAAGCTCAATACATTTTACCTTTAACGATAATCCAAATTTAAATCCCAATTCATCAATTTAAATACTTGGAGACATGTATAAATACAAATTTTCTTGGACAACAATATGACAGTTGCGATCTATATAAAACATTTAATTCGCACACCTACTATTTTACAACTATTTCTGACTTTTACTAATGGAGCGATTAAATCATTCTGTTTCGAAGGTACCGATATTGCATATAAAATTCATATCTTGAAATCTCGTAGTTCTGATCAATATAAATAAAACGAAAAAATCACTAAACTTCCTCCTATAGTAGACGTAAGTAAATGTTATACTTCGCCTAATTCAGTTAAAATTGTACGTTTTAAAAATGACACGAAAAATTGTGAGACATAAAAAACACAAACTAACAATTTACTGAATGCGTATGAGGTAATTGTCATCTGCAAAGCGATTTATCATTTACAAGGCGTTCATTTAAACAATTTTTATTTTTTAGTTTCAGTACACTCTCTATGATAACTTTTGAATTATATGTTAAATACCGTATAACAATAACAAATATATAAGATGTTCCAAAACACACCGTTGGCCAATACACCCGCCTTAAAATTTATCATAGGTCTTGGTCTATGTACAATTGGAGGGGCTATGCTTTTTGCCTATTTTAGAGCCCGTGATGACGACGACTCAGTGGATGAATGTGAGAAAAAAAAGATTGAAAAAAAGAAACCGAAAATCATGAATATTGAAGTGAAAATACCTAATCAGGATATACCCTTAATAGCAGGACGCAGTGGAGCTAATATAAAATCTATAGAAGAAAAGACCCAAACGAAAATAAATTTTAGGTAAGCAACAAGAAGCAAAATAAACCTTTGAGGAAATTAAATAAAACTTTTATTTATATTGCAGAGCTAAAGACGATTCGAGTCAATTGTGCGAAATTGTAGGCTATCCTGATAATGTTAAAGAAGCCCGTTCAATGTTGGCTAAAGAACTGGAGCGTTCTCCAATTATTACCCAACATGTTTACGTACCACAAGATGTTTGCGGTAAAATTATGGGTCGTTGCGGGGAAGCTATGCAGGAGATTTGTCGCATTTCTTTGGCCAAGGTTTCGGTAGAGTCTGGTCTAAATAATGTAAACAGCCGTCGCATTACTGTAACAGGCAATAATCGGCAAGTGAACATTGCCATCAAAATGATAGAAGATAAAATTGAGGAAGATATGAAATTGACACAAGCTGTTAAAGAAGCCGAAGAAATGCGTATGCCACGCCGTTCGCCGCTCAACAGCATTACATCGAGTTTGTATTCTTCTCAGAATTCTTTAAGTTCAAATTTGCCACCTCGCGAAAAGTTAATGGCTGCTAAAAATGATGAAAAGCCTATGGAAGTCTACGTTTCGGCCATAGCAACTCCAGAAAAATTTTGGGTGCAAATAATTGGCCCAAAAACGAAGCAGTTGGATGATTTGGTTAACAATATGACTGAATACTACAGTTCAAAAGAAAATCGTAATATGCATAAAATTGAGGAACCCTATCTAGGACAAATTGTAGCAACCGTTTTCAAGCATGACAATAAATGGTACAGAGCTGAAGTGGTGGGAATTTTGCCTAATCAATATAATCCGGAGGAATTGGTATTGGATTTGTATTTTGTGGACTATGGAGATAGTGAATATGTATTACCGCACGAGGTTTTCGAACTGCGAACTGATTATTTAACACTAAGGTGAGAAACTGTAAACAATGAAAAATAGAAAACTAATATTTATTGTGATACAGATTTCAAGCAGTTGAATGTTTTTTGGCTAATGTCAAAACTACGTTAGTAAATGATGATGGCATGTGGGACACGCGTTCTGTAGAAGCTTTTGAAGATATAACCCAAGGTTTATATTTTAAATTGCAAGAAATTCAAAATTATAAGAAAAATTTGTTTTGCTAGTTGCTCGATGGAAAAAATTAACAGCACGAGTAGTCACCTATAGGACCTATAGAGAACGTGCTAAAGCCTACAACAGTAATACAGACGCTCGCGAGGGTTCTCCTGTACCGGGAGTGGAGCTTTACGACATACAAGACGGTTAGTAAAGTTCCTATTTGTCTCCTAGCTTAAGAAATGAAATTTTGCTATTGTTACAATAATGTGGTATTAAAAAAAAGTAGCGAGATTAAACTTTATTCGATTACCCTGCTGCG